TAATTAAACACTTCTACATTTTGACCAGTGACGTTCTTAACTCACAATCTTCACTTGTGTCTTTTACGCCTCTTCTTCTTCTACTCCTGCTAATGACGTCAAACAAGAGAAGCCAAATAGAAATTACCCTCTGCTGGTTAAGAAAGAGTATCACATTATATTTTTTAATCATATCAAGAGGTAGTTACATTCCTGCTATATATCAATAACTAAATAAATCTCTGCTCATGCGTAATAATTAAATATTTCAAGCTTTCAATCAGCCAGAATCAGGCTGATATAACTTGACCCTTTGGGTTATTTCTGGAAACCTTCAAACTGGCCCTCATGTCTTCCTCTCCCTCCACTATCTGATCAATCCTGACCAAACTGTCATCAATCATTCACCACTCACATAAATCTTTGATGCTTGGGTTCCCATCCCTGCACTCTGGTTGTTTTTAGAGAGCCAATGAGCAGGTCCAGTTCAGAATTCAATCTGTCAAGCTTCTCATTTAGGTTTTCAGTGAGGCCTAAAATCTTCTCTCGTACACTTTTGATGTTATTGATTGTTACTGCTGTTTATTCTGCAGAGCCTTCTGAACATTCAGCACTCATACAAGTAAAAAGTTTTCAGGTCATGGATAAACTGCAAATTAGATCTAAATCGTGCATGACTCATTATAGAGTGAATGCCAGCTTTTTTGGAAGATGTGCTTCTGGCATTCCTGGTTGAATTGGAAAGCTGTTGGCGTCGTCCGTGGCTGCATGGTGGAGTTAAAGAGGGATTTAGTCTGAATCCTTCAGTTTGATGAGGGAAAGATAGAATACAGGGTGCGGGGTCAAAATGGTCTGAGGACAGGACAGTTATAAGTCCAGACTTCAGAAAACTACTACTTTTAGCTCAAAAGGTGCTTACTGAGTCTCAACTCTACAAATGAAACAAAAAGATTTCAAAACAACTTTTCCTGCGTGGCCAAGACTCCATAGATAAACAGCAGTTTATTATATATTTATAAGACTGATAGCATTTCACTGAGTCCTGGCTCCATCGATAAAAAATTACCAAAATGAGAACGGTAACTCTTTATGGTGAGTCCTGAATCTAGAAAGAATTGAACTGATATGAGACTAACATATTCTTCAAGTCTCCATCGAGAAAAAAAAACTGTTTTAAAAGCAACAATACCTTTCTACTAAGACTGCATAGTGAAAAGATAAACAGCAGCTTACTGCTAAATTCCACCAGATGTGTGTTTAGTCCGTCTCAGCTCTGCCACAGGATCGGAGCTGAAGTCAATGTGTGTGCTCCAGAGCAGAGCTCTCTGCAGGGCGATTGAATTGAACACGTTTTTGCGGTTAATAACAATGACCTTATGTGTTTTTGTTGCCGTGTTTCTAAGGGGGCTTATCTCTGCTGTTGTGCCTGAATTTGTAATCACTGCAGAAACTTCTTGGTCTCAGGGGTTCCCAACTGTTCTGCAGAGCTGCTCCGTGCTGCGCTGTGAGAAAGCAGCCTGTGGGTGTTGACGGATGAGGGAGCACAGAGCCGTAACAGAGCGGAGCTGACACGCAGCGACAATGCACACATATCTAGTGGAAGTTCTGTGTTACTGCAAGTCCAGACTCCATATAGAAAAATACTGATTCAAGAGCAACACCGTTTGACTGTGCCTTGCTGTCAACCTAGACTATAGAGAAACAACGCTTTACTCAGTCCAGAATCTAGATAGAAATCAACTGATCAAAACTGTCTGCAAGTTCAGACTTCAGCAATTAACATTTTTTAGAGTAACAAAACATTACTACATGAGAGAAAACAACTTGTATAAGAACAACAATGTCTGATCAGTATGTACTTTCCTTTTTTTTTAATATAGTTTTTATAAATATGTATGCCAATAAAGCCAAAACTGGACCAAATCAGGACAAAAATAAACTGATTTTAGGCAGCAACACTTGACTGCCAGTCCAGATTCCAGATAAAAAAAAGAGCATCAACACCTCACTGTCCCTTTCTGTACGTCCAGACTCTGGAGAAAACAACCAATTTAAACAAAATCAGCTCACTTGAACCGCAGACTTCAAGGAGAAAAGTTAGGATTCAAGAGCAGCGATGCATTCCTGCAAGACCAAACTCCATTGAGAAAACAACAGATTTAAAAGCATCACCAACAACACCTCACTGCACTTCACTGCGAGCGCAGACTCCAGAGAGGAACAACTTATTTGAGAGCGACAACACTTTGCTGCACGTTACTGCTGGGCCCGACTCTGGAGATAAAGAAAATTGATTTAAGAGCAACAACTTCTTTACAGCCAGTCCACTCTCCAGAGAGAACACAATTGATTTTAGAGCAACAACAACACCTTACTTGAAGCCCAGGCTCCAAAAAGAAAAAGCACAGAATTAAAATCAGCAATGCATTTCTGCAAAGTTCAAACTCCACCGATCAAAACCAGGTTTTAAAGCAACACCACGACTGCCCAAGTCCAAAGAGAGCAGATTTGAGGGCAGCAACATCTTATCGCATGTCACAGGCAGACCTGAATCCATGGAGAAAAAAAATGAAGTGCAGCAGCACTGGATGCATTTATTCTTCATGGTTTGGGAAAGTTTTTATATTTTAAACTTTAAGTAAACATTTTGATTTGAAATAAACTACACACAGTCCTTAGTGGACCTCACTTTCAGTCCAGACTTCAGAGAGAAATCCACTGATTTTAGTGCAACAGCCCTTTACTGTCAATCTACTCTCAGAAGAAAAGAGAGGACCAACGTGCACCTTACTGCTAATCATGATTCCAGAAATAAGTCATTTAATTTAAGAGTGACAACACTTAGCTAATGATTCATTTCATGCCAATAAGCCCTCTGATTTTGACTGAGTTGTATTGAACCCAGACTCCATAGAAAATAAAACATTTTCTTGAACCCCTGACTCTAAAAAGAAAAGCTCTGATTTGAATGCACTAAGGGCTACAGTCACACTATAGGCCCAGTTGCTCCCGTACCGTGCTGAAGCATGATTATCTCCAGTCCCCCCCGCTGGCCTGCACTCACACCGCTCCAAGCCCAACCAGCCTGAGAACGGTAACCTCTGTACGTCATCACGTTGTGCTGCCAGAGTGAACCGGAACCGCCACTCCTGGACTTTTTGCACCAAGTGTGGAGATAGAATACTTGCAGGTTGGGATTCATAGACTTTACTTCTTTTAGCGCTTCAAGATCCGATCATCACTAAAGTGCATGTCTTACAAGAGAGACGATAAAAACTGTGTCCAAGCCACCTCTTCCAACCACGCCAGGACTCAGGAAGTGTATGGAGCACTCACACTAGTCAAACCAACTGGACTTTGGGGGGTTAAATGTGGTTGTGCCCCAAGGCATTCTTCCAAGTCACCTTACTGCTCACATCCAAAGAGAAAATAAATGGACACTTTACTGCACCTCAGAGCTCTACAAGTCTGGATTCAAGAGAGAAAAACAGATTGAAGAGCAACAACAACACCTTACTTTAGACTTCAAAGACGATAATAATCATTTAAGTGCAGCAATGCCTTTCTGCAGGTCCAAACTCCACAGAGAAAAAAAGACAGTTTTAAACCGGCATGTATAACACCTTCCTGCTTTTTTCCTGCAAGGTCCAGACCCCAAAGAGAAACCAACACAAATTGGAGTGCACAAATACTTCCCTTGAACCCCTAACTTCAAAGGGAAATGCTCTGATTTAGGATCTCCAACGCTTTTCTGCAAGTCGAGACTTTAAAGAGACAACTACAGATTTTAAAAGCAACACCAACAACACCGTACTGCCCGAGTCCAAAGAGGGAACAACTGAATTATAGGCAAGAACAGCTTACTGCCCCTCAGAGCTCCAAAAGTCCAGACTCCAGAGGAAAGAAAACTGCTGATTTAGGAGAAACCACATGAACACTTTAGTTCATCCTGGAGAACTTCAGACAAAACAAAAACAACTGATTTAAGATCACCAACATGTTCTACTGCAAGACCTGACCTTAAAGAGAAGACGAAGAGATTTAAAAGCTAAACTAACACCTCTGACGGAGAATAGAATACTGTGCTACACTTAATTAACAGATTCATTATACTCTACAATTGCGCTCAATCACAGGGTCCCTTAAATAAAAAGAGAGGACGCTAAATGCTGACAAGCACGTCAGCATCACCCTTAATCATTATTTCTGCCTTTTTTCTTTTTTTTTTTGCTCCAATGGAAAGAAAATAAGGATCCTGGTTCCTCAGCAGAAGGGTTAGATGTATCGATCCCTGGTGATGATTAGATTGATTCCACCTTAACATCAGGAGCTCTGTTAAACAATACTGTGTACACATTTGAACAACTTCTTGGTCCACATAATAAGAAATGAACAAGGACAGATTTCTTCTGGAATATGATCAGAAATGCTTCATTAAAATGTATAATCTTTGTTTCCTGCGTACATGAAAGTCTCCTCTGGGAGAACTCTAACTTACAGTTTGAAACATTTCTGTTTCATATTATTTTTAACCCCGAAGGAAAGTCAGTGTGCACGCAGTACAGTATGATGGACATTATCTGCAGTGAGGAGCACATTCCCTGTAAACTTAATGGGATTAAAATTCAAATTAATTGCAAAATGAAACGGTTTTAACAGGATTATAATCATGTGTTTGTTTAGAGGGAGTTTTGTGTGGTCCTTTCCTGCAGCAGATTGTATTCACACTGGAATGGGACGAATGAAATGCTGTGACTTCAGTGCAAATCGTTAAAGATCGTGCAGTGGTCACATTTGGAGACGAGACTTTAAACACGCTCAACAACACAAACTGATTAAAGCAAAGGAAATACGGACGGATTTGTACAGATTGTGTGATTGGCAGATGAAGTTAAGCATAATGATCAACTGTTATAAGTGAACAAACACACACTTTTATTTATTTAGTAAATAACCTGGAACATCTTAAAGTCATACGACTTTAAATAACAAGTGCCAAAGAAAAGAAAACAGCTGCTTACCCAAACATGCGTTCACAAACCCATACCAAACGCACCCAGTACGTCCGATCAGCCACCGCCCCTGGGTGCTGGCCGCGAAGCTGAACGGGGTGCCCAGCACGCTGACCATCAGGTCGCTCGCGGAGATGCTCACCAGCAGGAGGTTCATGGGCGTGCGCAGGGCACGGTACCGGCAGAACAGCGCGAGCACCAGGAAGTTTGTGAGGAAGCCGAAGGTGCCGATGAAGCCGAGGCACACCGCCACCACAAGGTGCCCCCTCGGGCTGAGGGTCTGAGGGGGCAGAGACCCGGGCACCTGCTCGTACGCGTCAGCCGCCGCTACTGTAGCCGCTGCCGTCGCCGCCGTGCTTCCAGCTCCTCCTCCGGTACAGTGCGCACAGCTTAGGCTCAGGTTGCAAACGATCATTCCGGGCTAAAGTTTGGACCACCTCCCCCCCACCCCCCCACCACCACCACCTGAAGTTTGCACCGACCACCCGGTAACGGTGCAGCACTTTCGGTCAGCCCATCTGGTGAAGCGAGGGCGCACGGGGAAGCCCTGTATTGCACAGCGCGCGCATATGGAGGCTTCAATTGGGCTTTAAAAGAAATGTGTAACCGCTCAGCTTTACAGTCCAAGAGAGCTGCTTTGCAAATGAATGATGATTTAAAGAGCAAGTAAAAGTGTCATGTTAGACCCGCCCCTCCGCCGTGCCGTGCGCTCCCGGTCCGGAGAGGTGCGCGTGAGCTTTTATCACCCACAGCCCTTCTTTTTTTCTTTTTCTTTTTTTCCCGCGTTGAGGGACACAAACCCTGAACGTGGCTGCGGTGTGTGTACATGTTCAAGAGCATGCATGTGTGTATAGTCTCAAACCACTTTTAAGACCATCAACAAAAGCACCGCTGCAGAACACTGAGGGCATTTAAACTGTGTGACAGTTACAGCGTTGACATGACAAAGGCTTTATGGACGATATAAATATGACTCATGTATATTTCATTACAATAAATTACAGGTTAGAGCAGAAGACAGAATCAATACAATCAATAAAGCAACAAAGACCATGAGATCACTCTTTAACCCAAGAGGTGGTCATTATTTCAAATGAATTAAATTTCGACAACAGGTACAAAAGTTGGGTTATTTATGGGTTCATTGGGTAAGAGCTGGGTGTCAGGGGTCAGGAATGTTAATTCACTGAAAAGAAAAGAACAGAAATCAATGAAGCTGACTCTATCCTGCCCGTCTTTACTCTGCACAGCTAATTCTGTTGCTCCGGCTGTCTTTTCTTTACAGCATTTGTTGCCCATGTCTTTCCCTCTCGGCTTATTTGACAGGAGTACATGGATACAGACTTTGATCATATAGAAAGAGCTGATCCATCTTGTCTCGACGTCGTCATGGAGACAATTTGTGGCAAACAGAGAAGTTGATCGGCACTGTCAGTCCGATATCTGATACATAAATCACTTAATTATTACTTAAACGTACTTAATATCGGATCCCTTTTTTTGAGGGCCTGTAAGTTTTTGTCCCTCTGGGCTTCTGTAGGATGAATGATAGGCTCTTGGAATATCATCATGAACACGTAATTCAAAGCACAGGCCGAGTGAAAACTCGAGCCTGACTGATAAATCGGCCAGTCGATATTAGCATATCAAGTGAAAATCCGTATCGGCTAATTTCATCGCAGATATGCGTTGATATTACAAAATTAATTCACCAGTCAAACGCATTTAATTTGAGTGTCATTGTATTACACTAGCAGTCTCTGTTTCTGGCTGTCACCAGCAGAGGGCGCTATATGGATGACAACGAGCGTCATCACTCTCCAGAGTGTCAAGCGGTGATGCACGTGCATGCTCAGTTACTTTCCAGTCGAGTGACCATCTTGTCTTCATTATAAATCTTTTCCACAAGTGTTTGACAACTGCATTTGAGGGATCAAGGCAGTAAATGTTTGTGTATCTGTATCTCTTTATGTCTAAAGATCGGCGATAGATCAAAAAAAGATATCGTCCGATATATCCATAGCTGTATCGGCCCCAAAAATGTGATATCGGTCGGGCCATAGTGAAAACATTGAGCAAGTTATTTCCATCATTTAAGTGTTTTAGCGGTTTAAGTAATACACTGAAAGTAGAGAGCACACATACACACACACACACACACACACACACACACATTCTTTATAAAAAGTCAGCGTGAGTTTTAATCCATTCAGAGAAAATAATCTTCACCTCATCTGAACCTGAGTGTGACAACCCTATTTCACCTCCCAGCTTGACTGTTTAGCTGCTTTCAGGAAGCAAAACCCCGACAATCACAGAGAAATTGAATCTCACTCTCTCACCTTTTGAAAACGGAAATGTGGCAGAGTACAGACACACACACACACACACACACACACACACACACACAGACTTCAGGAAAACATTATGAAGCTAAAAAAAACTTCATGTTTATGATATTCTGCAAACAGCTTGATGATGCATTAAAGTTTGAAACAAATTCTTATCCACTGACCCAATAAAATCTCCAGATAGACGCAAAGCACGCCCCATGAGCGCTTTAAAAGATGCAATGTTTATTTCCACATGAAATAAATCATGACGTTAATCATTAATGGAAAATTCAACAATCAAAATAAATAAAAGGCATACCTCATGGAAGGATTCTAGCATCAAATTGCATGTTTTTGCACATGTGTTGCATCGTGTGTGGTGTTTGGTCAAAGGGTAAATGTGATGGGTCAGTGGCTATATGACTTTGTATCAAATATGAAATAAATTTGTCATTTTCTTAATGGCTGCAGGCCTCAGATAAAACAAAAGACACTTTTAAACTTTCTTTGCTCATACTTGACAAAATCCAGAAATGGACTGGATGGAAAAGAGAGGGAAATGTGCCTGCAGTCACCAGAGGCTCATCCCTGGCATCTGGAGGTTAAGTGGGGACATGAATCTGTGTGATTTCATTCAATCGGATCTCCTTAATCACTTATTCAATATAACCAAAGCACATCCGCAGACTTTTGAAAGCTGAAGGTTGTGAAATTGATCTAAACTTTCTGAAACATTTCTGACAACCTGCTGTTTTATGTTCACTGGTATGTGCTCTGACAACAGCAGATGCATTTTGAAGTGTTGTGTTTGTTGAGGAGATACTTCTTTTTGAAGGGTTTAAACATATAATTAAAGGTTTAATATGCGATTTTTCACACTTAAATGTAATAGAAATCAAGTTTATCCTCTGAAAATAACTCTGTGAGTCATGACTGTCTACAATGGGTGTAACACCCGAGTCCCACTGTCTGTGATGCTTTCAGAGTCACATCTTCAGTTTGTTTACATCGCCAGGACGACAGGCAGACTCCTCCCCTTGCGTATAAAAGTTGTTTAATTGAGGGACTAGAGAAAAGAAGAATAACATACTGTACTCACTGCTTAACTGTGTTTCTAGATCACGCTCATTTCAGGTAAATTTACATGCAGTGTGAAGATACCAGCATAATAAAGATCGCTAGCATTAGCATGCTAACACAACAATGCAGCGCGAGTTGTTTTGGTTTCATGCTGGTGCTCAAGGAGCGACATCTGCTGGATCAAAAAATCACAAATAAAGCCTTTAAGGACAGAGCAGGCCTAATGTTTCCCTTCAGATTTCACTCTGATATTTATTTATTCCACAGCTAATTGTTCTGACATTTTCCAGTAGTATTTGGACATTTTGCCAATAATGTTGATTAATGTTAAGTACCATGCCAATAAGGCGCATTGACTCCAGCTGAAAAGAGGCGTGAGGTCAATAAGCACCAGAACAAAATGGAAAAAAAATGTTTGCAGATGGAGAGTGAATAGATGTGAATGTTATAATGTTGGAGGCCGTCCCTGGCAGCATTCAGACAGACACCTCGGTGATCATGTCCGTTGTAAAAACGTGTAATCAGCGTCTCTGAACTCGTTTCTGAACATGTGCCCATTGAGCTGAAAAGCCTCGACTGTCATATGCCTTAATGAGAGGGCTGTGAAGGCCATTTAAAGCTGCTTGCAGCCTTGTCGGTTTCTACGGCTACTGAGGAGGTATTTGCTTTAAAGACATTTGTGGCGTATAAAGTGGCCAGATAGCGAAAAGCAAACAGGAGGAGAAGGTGCAGTGCTGTTGTATCCAGATAGAAAAGGCCGAGAGAAATGTGGGAGTCCTTATTAAACATATGTTCATCTTCAGTATAAAAGAGCTGCTTGTATGCACGCAGCGGAAAATGTCTAAACACGTATGTGTGGAAGATTATCACAAAGAAGGGCTGTGTGAAAACAGAGTTATAGTAGTGTGAATTATTTTCTAATCCGAGCTTTCATGTACAACTTTTCCACATGAATAATATATGTTGGCGTGATTATCAGGCTGTATGGAAACATGAGTCCTGATTTAAATGTAACTTTGATGTCGCTGGCGCTAAAAGACGTATCGAATGATGACTGTGTTACATTAGACAGGACACACATGAAAGCAGACAGCAGCATCAAAACAAGAGTTATTAGCTATGCAGCAGACAAGTCCCAATTAAAACCAGGACTCAATATTGTGGTGCAGATGTTGTAATTTTCTCCATCTGCTCCTCCTGCTTTGGCTGCTGCTGCAGTGCGGCCATGGATCATTTCAGCCTCAGGCGAGATGTCGTCCTAAGCTCATCAAGATGAGTGACAAGGGTTGAGCCAGAAGGGCGGGATTAACAATACCTTCTGCCTCAAGGCCAAAAAAGTTGCGTTGATCAATTATAGGACAAGGAAGGAGAACATAACTGACAATATGTCCAATCTTTGCTTTTTCTTCTCTTTTATTTCTGTCTCCTGCCACGACTAAATAATCCAGCTCAAAAGGTGTTTTTTAGTTTATTGTGAAAAATCACAGAGAATCACATCTTTGGCTGAGTTCTCAACTGAATCTTTGATGAGCAGATCATCCTGTTGTAAAAGATCAATGTTTAATGAAGTCTAATACAGCCATGTTTTTAATGAAAACACAAGCTATTGATGTGCCGGCTTTACCAACTGAGCTGCGGCCGCCCACAGATGAGGCCAACTTTTCCCTGAAATGTTAAAAACGTGTAAAAAATAAAATACCTCTGGTCGATAAAATTAAATGTAGAACCACCATAAATATAAAATAAATATATAGATATACCATTATATATTATTTTAAATTCAACAACACGACAAACCATTTTTTTTACACACTGACCCAATAAAATCAGTTTGTTGCAAAGCACGTCCCATGAGCGTGTTAAAAAGATGCAGTGTTTATCTCCACATGAAAGAAAGCATGACATTCAGCTCACTAATGGAAAATTCAACAATCAAAAATATTTAAAAGGCACTACCTCAAGGTATGCATTCCACCGCCAAACCTTATCAAACCAACCAAAC